TAAAGATGTTCAGTGCTGGTTCACTTGTTACAATATTGTTTGGGATTTTGGACATCCCATGTTGCTGGCTGCTGCAACAGCAGATGCAGAAATGTTTTGATTGGAACACGGGATGCAATGTTATGGGAACTCTTTGGTTGGAAACATGAATACTGTGTGAGCATTTGTGTCAATTTCTTAATGTGGGAGATCACTGCATCTCTTCTTACTTGCTTCGTTACAGTTGTTAGCTTCAGTCATCAGAATTCTGCTATGTATGTGAGGAAGGACCATGAAAGTAATGGACAGATAGCAAGCTGAATACCTTTTCTCTCTTTTTGGTTTTGTACTACATCTGCCCTGTTATCATGGGCAGGTGATTATGGGAAGATATCTCTTGTCTGTTTATCTGGAAAGCAGTTGAAATGTCTTTTTGTGGCAGATGTGGACTGCCCCTGAACAGTCTTTTTACTGCCAACAAGTGAAAAGATACAGCTTTACAAGCAAAAGTGAACCAAGCTGTGTATGCAGAGACAGTTTATGAGAAAGTATTCATGTAAGTATTGTGCATCCTTGAAAGAGAGCATCTAGGTCAGGACCTTGATGTGAATGTGAAGTGATTGTGAAAAAATCCAGTGGTGGGTGGAATATTAGCAGAGAAGCCTTCTGGTTTCATTTCATCTTAGAAGAGGGTGTCTTAGTTTTACATTCCAAGTGACTTTCAGCTTTTTCTTCTAGAAACCCCTGTTGTCTTTGGAAATGCCCCCTCTCCATTTCCCCTTCCCTCATCTCACGAAGACACAGACACACAAACAGTGCAACAGTGATCTGGTGAGGTTCTCATATGTATCTTGGGTAACAAAATGTGAAAAACAGCAAATACTATTTAGTTATTTGTTTGTTTGTTTTTCTGGAGGAATATTCACCTCTTGGTGAGCACTTATGTAAGCAAAAGCTAACATGAAATGAAGACAGAACAGATAAACTGGTACTGGGCTTCTTGGAGTGCTTTTCTCTTTCATGCTGCATTGCTGACTTTTAAACTTACTTGTTTCTAATACTGTTGGTGCAGTATTAGCTTCCATAGCCATTCATCTCTTTATTGACAGACATCCCCTTACCTTTTAAATAAATGATGCGAGGTTTTTGTGTGCAGACCAAGCTTGCTGGTTTCGAGGCTCAGCGAAGAATGTGCTGAGATAGGGTTGTATTATCCTAGATACATTGTTCTTCACAGTGCTAGTCTCATTCCTCATCAAATGGAACAACTTATGAAACAGAAATTAAAAACCTTCTTTATATGTGCTGTTTCCATATGTTTCTGAGCTAAGAAATTAGAAGAGGAGGTTATCCAGGATTAAGCCTTTCTGATAAAGGCCTGTGTGCATGTAGCATTGGAAGAATCTCTTTGGGAGGGATTAGAATTAGTCAGAGATGGCATGGAAATGGACAGGATTAGCTAGTAGCATTCTGAAAGTCTATCTCTTTCTTTCTTTTTCCTTGTAGTTTTGAAGTACATCACTGTGATGTTTGATATTGACAATAATTGTGTTTTTCTTTGTTTCATTTGAAGATTGCAGAGTTTTAGAAGCAGTAATTGCATATCTGCCCCTTGATTTAAATAGAAGAAAGTGAAAGCAAAGTCTTGTCAAATTTAATAGTTGAACAATTGTATTAAACAGAAGCAACTTCCATTAACAAGCACTCTCCCATTTTGTCTGAGTCCTACATGGAGAGATATAGAGGGTGTTGTTAGTTAGCATTAGTAATTCTGAGGAAGCTGAGAGATGAGGGATATGGAGAACATCACCTGTGCCAAACTCTTGATCAGAAGCAGCCCGGTGTCCTACAGTCCTTAGGATTTGTCCTCTATCCTCCACAGTGCTTGACTGGCAGACATCTCCTCTTTCAGTATGCAGAAGGTGTTCAACAGCAGGAACCTTTCTCTAGTACTGTTGCTGATAAAATGCATCTCTCCTTGGAGAGTTCTCTTATTTAAATGTGAAGATGTAACTGAATTTCAACTGCAAATATTGACAGCCCTTGGGTTGCAGATCTGAACAGGTTTACAGGTGAAGAGCTGTGAATTTATAGGCTTTTTATAAGTGAGCCCAAAGGGGCTTTGCTCTCCCAGTTCTGGTTTTCTACCTATCTCTCATTGCAGTTCTCCCTGGAATGGCTTTCCTGGCATAGAATTCGTTTACTGTGATGTTCTCACTTTAAAAAATTCTTCAGACCCCCCTTCTCCAGTACGTTGTCTTCCCGAGAATCCATTCATTATAAAATATTTTGAGATTGTTCTTGAGCATTTTGATTCTTCTACTCTTAGCCATAACTTAAATGTACTCTAAACCTGAGCTGAAGGTTTATCTAGTGGCAAAATGAAAGTTAAAGTGTGCAGAAAAGTATTCTTGTATTCTTTCTTTTCTCTGCATTTGGGCACTTGGATGTAGATAAGATGTCAAGAGATTTAGGCAGCGAATAGCCTGTTTGAGTCGATGGTTAGTTTTTTAGGTACTCGTTGAGTTTTGTGAACTCTGAAAGCCACTCTGCACACTGAGTGCTTGTCCTCTAGATTGCTGAATGTTGAGAAAAATGGTGCACAGAGCTAGCTTGTTAGTGCTTAGCAATTGTTCAGCACCTGTTCGCAAATGTGCCTGAACATTAAGAGGAAATGCATACGGGTGTTCAACAGAATGAAGGGTTGTTAAGATCTGCGTGAACAAGCAGGAGGAAATACAGATGTGAGTATGTAGGAGGGAAAAGACTATTACAAGGGCAATCCAATTAATGCAAATGATGCATGCAGATGTCTTTGGCTTTTTAGTACCTTTTGCTGTTTTACTCCATAGGATCTGCATGCTAGGGGCAAAGGATAGGAGCTCTGTCTTCCTTTGCATGGCAGCAGCACTCTCAAACCTTAAAATCCTACCTCTGCCAGCAAAGAGGAGACACCTTCTCTTGCTTGTGCATGAATGAGCACATAGCAAAACAGCTATTGAGCCACAGGACTCACCTGGGATGTAACATAATTTTGCCTGACGTATCTGAGCTCCTGTTGACTCCTGGCACTTTACAGGAGCAATGCCAGTGCTTCAAAATTCAAATAAGATAATTGAAAGCAAGCCCTTGGCACTTTTTTTTTTTTTTTTTTCCTGGGGGTCAAATCCTGTTTGATTTATTTTGGTATTGACTTCTCAGGGCTATTCACCTCAAGGAAGCAGGGTTTGGGTTTGAAAAGAGATATTCTTTCAGCTACATATTGATCCCTGGAGCTGGCTCTAGTCCATCCTTATGATGTACTCTCTGACAAAATGGCTTCTTCTCTTATCTTGGCATCTAATGTGAGTTGAATAATGACTTTAATTAAAACAAGACTTGACCACTTGGTCTTTCAGATGAGATACATAGCAAACTCAAGTATGTGGCTTGAGCAGTTCCATTTTTTTCCTTTCCTCACTCCATTATGAAGTGTCCTTCTCAGGTCATGGCCCAGAAACATTGCTCTCCTGAAGTCGGCAGAAATTTTGCCACTGATTCCAGAGAGTTCAGGACCACTACTCTAAGCCAATGGAAACTTACCCTGTTTACTCCAAAGTGTTTTGGCTCACGACTTTGATCCAATAAATAAATAAATAGAGAAATGCTCTCAGACTAACAACCTCAATTTACAAAATCTTTTCTGTCACAATCTCTGTCCATCTACTCATTATCTCCAAACGCTGTCACTCAGGGGTGTTTTGTAGAAAAATACTCTGCAATGAAGTGGCACGGCCAATTTAATTTGTCTGTTTGTGCTTTTATTTTTTTTATTGACTTACAGAGAAACTGCTGACCTACGAGCTCATAGCTGTTTTCACCTTTTTTTCATGTTTACTATGATATAGGTATTAGGTACTTGCATGGAAATTCATAGTCTGCCGGTAAACTTAATACAATAGATATGTAAGATACTTTTATGCTGTCTTCAACATTTTTCCTACTTTCTGTAAAATGCATTATGCTTTTTCCTGCTCTGGCACATTTTGCTTAGATGTTCAGCGTGGGTTTTTCCTGAGGAAAAAAGAAAGGCATCCAAACACCTCTGTGCATAGAATTTCTTTTTACATTTAGAGTGCGCAAATAAAGACTAAATTTCCTTTCCAGGATTTCGTATACATAGTTTTCTGCCCATTGAGGTGGTTGTGAATACATATTTGGCAAGAAAAGTCAGGCAGCCCTCCAGCTGTGTTTGAAGTACTTGTGGAACAAAAACACACACAGCAAAGTAACATTGCCAAGTCAACCTCTTAAAAATTAAGTGTATATTTGTATACTGTCCTCTTTTTGTTTTCTGTCATGGGAAACCAGTTTGGAGGCCTAAATTGCATTGCTAACTTTGTTGAAGGTTTCCCACTTAATCATTTGGTAATATCTTGTCTATAAGGATGTAACCATGTAAACGTGTCCATGTTGAATCAGAGCAAGATGCCCTCTGTATAGTTAGTTACAGATACTGGATTGGCAAGCAGGGTAGTTCTACAAGCTTGCCATTGTAATATTTTCACTTGTTTTGCTACATCTCAGTGGCTCTGATACTGCATAACTTTACATCAATATCTGTACTTTAGTCCCTTCTCCTAGTTAGGTGTTGAATATTTTTGGCATCATCTGTCTAACTTAGTAAAATTAAAATCAAACAAAACCCAGCACCCTTTTCCATAGTAGTGTTAATTTACAAGGTGCTTTACAAACATAGATAAGAGCCATTCAGGACTCTACTCTGTGTAAGACAGACAAATGCAAGATGAAGCACTTGAAAGCAGTTCAGAAAGTGAGGATGTGGAAATGAGTTGTGCAAAGTATTGTGAAGTGGGGTTTCTGAGCAAGGGTTTAGGAGGCAACTGGAGGAAAACAGTCCAGTACAAGGAGCCCAAGGTCCTGGGGAAGTGTGCTTGCCATCTATTTGAAGAGCAGTGACTTTTTCTTTATACACCTGATGTTTTATTTTGCTCTCCATCACTTATCCTTGCAATTATTAGGCCAGCACCAAGTCAAGCAAGGGACATGCGAGGTTGTGGCAGTGCATCGTTGCTGCAATAAGAACCGGATTGAGGAACGATCGCAAACAGTCAAGTGCTCCTGCTTCCCGGGGCAGGTGGCTGGGACAACGCGGGCTCAGCCCTCATGTGTGGAAGGTAAGCAGCCTCCTGCTCACCCACAGCTCCTAAGTTTGTTCTCCTTGATGGTTTGACTCCCCACTGCCTCAAAAGCATAATCCTTCCTTTTGTTAATTTTGAAAACATCGCTGTGCATTGATTATAATGAGTCTGTGCATAAATCCGGGTGTAATTAATCCTCTTAATATATGTACTCATCCATTTCATGTCTGTGCCAATAAAACTTAATTTTTTTATTTATTTATTTATTTTTTTTTCACACAAGAATTCTACTTTAAGACTGGTCTGGAAACAGCAGAAATAAAAGACTTCAATTAATGATATTAACCCTTATACTACTTTTCTGAAAGAGTGGTCAAGCACTGGAATGGGCTGCCCAGGAAGGTGGTAGAGTCACCTAGCCTGGAGGTGTTCAAGATACAGTTGGATTTTGTGTTGAAGGACATGGCTTAGTGAGTACTGTTGGTGATAGGAGGATGGTTGGACTGGATGATCTTAAAGGTTTTTTCCAACCTTGGTGATTCTGTGATTCCAGTTACCTTTAGACCTAGTAACTTGGCTGGAAAGTCACTGGATAATAAATGCAGCCCTAAGAGTGAGCATGCAGACAATGCTGGGACATCTGATTGTGAAAGCTGTTTTCCAGATGGATGACTCACCATTTTATGTGCTGAGTTGGACTCGATGATCTCTGGAGGTCCCTTCCAACCCCTACAGTTCTGTGATTCTGTGTGATTCTGTGACATCAGTGCTATAATGGTGTCCCACCTCTACTGGATTGTGTACATTGTAACTCCAAATGAGTTGGAGTTGGTAGACCAGAGCAGAGCATTTTTGTTTTTCTGTATGAAACTACAACCTTATGAGTTAAATATAAAACAAAAGACTCAAAAACATTTTTTCTAAACTTTCAGAGCTATTTAGTTCTAGAAATAAAACTAAATACGTGCAGTATGTCTTTTTTTTTTCTTTTTTGTTTTCCACTTCTTATTAAAGAAAACATTTTAAATTTTTTTTTAAAAGGCTGTTCAGACTTTACATGCCTTGTAATCTGGGAGCATAATAAGCTTTAACTGTACAATTTGTTAAGTAGTTTTCTCTTCAAAGGAGAAATACCCTCTGTTTTCAGGTGATACAACAAGCAGAAATACTTTTCAATATGACAGATAATAAAAGTCAGTCAGTGTTCTAAACTTGCCTAAGGATTGCAAAGGTGACACTACATTCCATGATAGAAAGACATAAATGTATGATATGATAGAAACTTAATTCAGTCTGTCAGTACAAATAGTTGCTGAAAGAATTTAGTGGCTGTTTGTTACCTTCAAGGATAGTTGAAATTAAATAAGACAGAATATTATGAATGTGAGGTTTTGGTTCCTAAAGTGGAAGTCTTTGATTCCTCCTCATTTCTTAGGGTAATGCTTTAACATGCTTCACTTTTTGGTTTCTTTTCCCTGCAAGAATCTGAGCCTGCAGTGTTTTTTCTGTTGCTGTAGCACAGAAATTATAACTATTTTTACTCAGCCTCAGGATTAAATGTGCTTTTCCCCACTCTGTACACAGCCTTCAGTTGGCTTCTATGCTGTGGAAGCCAGAAATCTTTTCGGGAAAAAAAAACAAAAACAAAACAAACAGCAAACAAACAAACAAACAAAAAACCCTCTTGAATTTGCATACTTTAGGCTGATACAGAGGTTTTGTTTTCTTTTCTAACACCTCTTTGCCAAACAGAAGGATATTTGATTTGCCTCTGAATTTAAAGGGAAGGACATGCATGAATTACAATTTTTCTAACCAAAAGAAAACATTTTGTAGGGCAGTTGTCTTACAGCAGTATTATAAAGTATTTCGTTTGAACTTCAGACCTTATCCAGTAGTAATCATTATTTGCATTAGAGTAGCAATTATCTCTGTGCTTATGAACATACATGGCACACATGGGTGCTGCCTGCAGTTCCTTCCTCACATTACATACTTGTTAGATTGTGCTCAGATAAAAAGAGGAAATATGGCACTTCACATTCACTGAATGTATTCATTAGGTGCCACCCACTGGTTGTGTCAGACGATGTGATTTTTGGTCATACACACACATGCTTTTACAGATTGAAATCTTGATTTTAAAGAAGTCTAGTGCTTAGTAATGTTTATTAAAAATGTTTTCTAAATCCAAGTACAACATATATACCTATAAACATGTTCTATTTGGACCTTAGCCTCTTCAACACATGTTCAAAAAGGAAATAACTGAGAAAGTCATGGTGGAGAACAATAATAAGCAGGGTGAAATCATCCAAATGCGAACAGTGACTGAACTTTTCAGGTTTTGTGTATTTTAACCATTACCATCAATGAAGAGATTACTGGAAGAGGGTGAACGGGCTCATGTTTTATGTTCAACACTGAGTGGCAACCTTAAAATAAACCTATTGGAATGGAATAACATTTTTCTTTCTTGGCCAAACAAATGGTTGGTTACATGATTACATAATTACAATTAATTAATTTGATATCTATTTGATGATTTTAAAGAAGTCTGCTGCTTCTTGCTCTTCCTAAATGAAGGTCTGGTTTCTGTTTTAGTGTTTACAATCCAGGCAGCACAGTGAGCTGGCTCTAATGTTCATTTCAGCCAGGCTGGCAAATCACTGATTGTAGCTCATCCACAAGAACTTAAAGACACTGCAGCAAATAGATTTTCTCAGAGTATGGAAGGCAGTTAAGATGTGGGACTTCAGCAATTTCTAGACAAACTGTACTTGCTGTTCTGTTCTGGAATAAAACTTCACATTCGAGTAGCCTTCAGCTATATATATATATATATATATATATATATATATATATATATATATGTTTTGGTTTTTTTTCCACAGAAAATTGTAACAATTAAAATAAGCTCCATCTGAAATCTGTACTTCTGGTTTTGGTACTTTATAGATGTTATTTTTCTTTCCCCTTGATTTTCTTACTCTTTCAGCATATGGGTTTTCAGACCCAACTCCCACAGGATTTCAGTGACAGATTTTTTGATTAATTTGGGTGGAGGTAGAATCTAGTTCATCAAACACAGCTCCTTGTTGATAGGTATTGGGCATTGTGCCCTTTTGCATAAACAGGCCATAAAAAAAGGTTTATAAAGCCTGTCATTATTGTTTTTAGGATGTAGTCATAGGCCAGCTGGATATTTGGATCTTGAAATAGCTTGACAGATGATGAAGAACTTTACACAAGGTCAGATTAAACCAGCACTTTATTAAAGCAGTACTGTATGTTAAGGCTAAACTGTGCTCGGAGAAGTAGAGCACAGCATACCAATACTCAGAGCTACCAGAATTTGGGAAAGCCTCCTGTTTGAGGGAAGTCAGACTGGATGTTTATATGATTACATTTAGACATAGATCTCCACAAGTGACATATTTTTTTCCTCATGATATACGATAAGGAGGAAACGAAGGTACTTTGAGTTGTAGAAAAAATATAAATATCTGGATAAATTTCAAGGAAAATAATGTGTTAAAACTGTACAGGAAGGAATATAAAAATATTTAGATTTTATAAATACACTAAATGAAACTTTTAAGTGCCTTGAGTGCTACGAGCCATTCCTTTTCAGTGTGGTATGATAATACCCACAGCGTTGTGGGCCTTAACTAACATTTATAGAGTGCTTTGCAATTCTGCAGTGTCATTCTTCCCAGAAACTTTAAACACCGGTAGCAGCAAAAGTCAGATTAGTTCATTTAAAAGAAGGATATAAAGGCTAAAGTCAATGTTATAGTCTGGGATATTCAATAGGGTTTCACAAGCATACTAAAATCACTTGTGGTAGCCTAAATGAGAGTATAAAGGCAGAAGCCTTTGGGTCAGGGTATTTCTGTAATTCCTTGTCCACATTGACATGCTCATTAACTTTCTTCTCTCTCAGATAATTGTATTTTGGATGTAGCTAACAAGAAGCTCTAATCTGTGTATTTGAACTTAGTTCTGAAAGCTATTGGCAAGTATTGGCAAACAAGAAAAGCAAGGCTATTGCTTCTGTACACAGGCACACCTCGTTTTTCTGTATTTTTTCCTCTTTTTTTCCCACCTTTCAGACACAGGCTAACTTGCTGCTTTGAGAAATGTTGCTGTAGATGAAATGAGCCACTAAACTCAGGAAAAAAATACGACCACAAGTAGTTAAATACACAGAGAAAACATCCCATACAGCCTGTGTATCCTGCCTTGAGTTGTGGCTATACTACTTGATTGCAGCTGTAGAAAATGTTGTTTAACAAAGGTCAACTCATTCTTCTGTCAATGATCAACAATTACATTTAAAATAGTCATAATGAGATTTCGTTTTTCTCCATTTTCTTTGTGGAATTTGTGGAATGTAGTAAGCAATTCTAGGTTGTCTAGCAGCTACTGCCAAGAAGATAAAACATTAGTAACTTTTGTTTGGAGAGAAGTGAAGTGCTTTAAATGTCTCTGAGTAAATCATCAGTACCCAAATCATTTTCCATCCAGTCAAGTCTGGTAGAACTAGAATTTATGAGGAAAAGCATTTGGATTCAAGGTCTAAATAATTAAAGGTTTTCTATAGGGTCAAAGAAACACAGTGAAGAAAAAGTACAGTTCAGGCTGAAAGCCAACTGGATTACAGACTGAAAGGAAGAGACCATAGAGAAACAAGAAAACAAAACAAAACAAAAAATCAATCAATACATAGCAGATAGATAAGATTTCCTTCTCACTGTATTTGGATGTATTTCAGGATACTTGATAACTCAAAAGGATGCTAATGCTGTGTCAGTATTCAAAGAAGAAAAGGAAATATACAATAGAATGAAGAGTCGGCTGAAAATTTATATGGAAAGCTTAATCCAGTGAGGTAGGAAAGACATCTGTATTTGTCATGACTACAGATAACATGGATTTGTTTAAGCAGAATATGAAGTAATCATTAAATAAACTTTTTGTAATCCCTTCAACTGACTTGAAAGCAAATATTGACCAAAAAAGAAAGAATGGATTTCATCCGGATCAAAGGAGTAACTAACGATGAGCTCAAGGCAGTCACATGGCATAGTCCTCTGTTGTGGGGAGTTGAACCTGTTTGAAAAAACTCTGTGTTAATAAAGACAAATGCATTGCATCGAGAAACTGAAGAAGTTGAATCAGCTCAGCTTATCAGGCAGAAGATTGAAAAGTGACTTGATTGCAGAGCGTTCAATACCTTCACAGGGAGAAAATGATGGTTACTAACAGATGCTGTAAAGTAGAAGAAAGTGCAGAAGAGGTTTAAGGAGGGAAAAAAAAAAAAAGCAAACCCTAAAGCTGTATGTTTCATGCTGAGATTGTTTAATTGTTGTGAAAAATGTCAATGGGAGAAGTAACTTTCTTCACCTGTGCCAGAATGGCTTGGAAGACAATGTAACTGAACACAACTGAGGGCACAACACAGTGAATTGCATAAGGCAAGACAAGATGATGTATTGGCACCTTTTGGCCTTAATCTCTGTGAATCTACTGTTTCCATGGAGTTGCATCATCTAGGGAGCAATGTCAGCAGAAGATTTATTTCTAGTAGGGTAACCACCAGCAAATTGACTGGCAAATGTCAAACTAAAGCAGTCTCCTTTCCTTTCATTAGGGTGGTTGTGTATGAGTGTGACACAGCTGCTCTTGTTTCCTAGAAAAGTCATCTGCTGAAACCTCTCCAAGAGTGCCTCAATCTGAAAACTGGAAACTTTTATGTCCTACGGAGTCACATGGTTACAAGGACAGCAATAGTTAAACAGCTCTCGCTCTGAAGATGAACCTAAGTGACTGATGGAGAATTTTAATAGACTAATCTCAGAAGTGTGTTTGACACAAACAGCCACAGCCATTTAGGATATATAGCCTGCATAGTGGACATTAGAGCTACTAAGAGACTGGACATAAAATGGATATAAGAATTAGTGCAGTGCTACAGCAAAGGACTAGGGATTTGCTGAAAGTTAATAGAATGAGACCTGCATTAGGGATTTCAAAGTGTTTCCATTAATCAGAGGAAAGATGTCTGCACAGAATAGAAATCAAATAGGAGAAGGGTAAGAGTCATTTTCTCTGAAATTGTCTAAACAAAAGACGAACAGAAGGTGAACTAGGCAGAGCTTGTTTGAGTTAGATTGACTCCACAACGTTTCCTTCTCATATCTCTGCTTATTTTAATGGAAGATGGTACTGCTGGAAGTGATGGGCCTGATTCACTGCTTTTGTACACGGCCCACATTTCATGAACCAGGAAGGTATGTGGTGGTAGTGGTATAAATATGAAAGCGGGCTCACTTGTCTGAGTGCAGGCAAGCTCTTATGTCAATGCATCCATGCTCACAACAGCACAGTGCAGAGCTGTGTAATGTGGTAGCCAGGCCTCCCAGCAGGGCTTGTTGGCTCTGAATGTCATCTCTGTAAATGCAGCTAGCTTACTACCAGGATCTCGTGCAGACATCCCTGCAGATGCCCTCAGTCTTCTTGAGTCTCACCTTCTAGAGTAGGTTACATTTAACAGAAATTAATGTGATTATTCAATTTTTCTCTTAAAAAGTAGCAAAGATATTAAATAAACTGCTGGACCGTTTATCTGGAGTGGAAGTGATCCCTCACCTCTTAGGGAAGCTAACCAGGTTTCATCCATTTCATCAGCAATCAATCAGAATCAAAGCAAATTATCTAGGATGCAAATAGCTGGTGACAGGAATCATGCGTTCATTTTATAATGTTAGGAGAGTGAAAGAATCATTTATAGAAGCTAAACTGGTGTTTCAGAAATGCATTTTTCATAGTGCTCTTCACATAGCCCTAGAATGAAAGCACAAAACAAAAGTAATTGAATGAGCATTTCAGCAATATTCCTATGTCAGTTTGCTTGCTTGTCACCCTAATTTGAAGGTTGCAGAGATATGAATCTACCTTGAAATTAGAAGGAAAAAGAAGTGCTTTACAACAATTAGACTAAATTATTTTTGTTCATCTCTTTTGGATGTACTTTACTGTAAAGCATATTTTGTGCACAGAGTAGAATAATGCAGACTAACTACATCAGCATTCCCAACCATTTTTTATTTTGAAATCCAGTTAAGTTTGTGTATGATTACAAACCGATACTTTTCAAAATCACTTTTTCTGGGATTGGATGAATCCTGTGAACAATGCAAAACTGAGAAATGCATGCAGAAGTTTGCATTAGTTTTTGGGAAAGTGTATCTGTTACCAGCAGTATTAAAAAGTCACGACTACGGGTATAAAAATAGCGAGCGGGAGCTTATTAACAAAAATTGGCTTAAGGGTAGAAAATTAATAAATTTGCACAGTTAGTGTGCTACTGAAGCCTTGCCAGACATTCTGCAAAACTGGCAGTGTAACTGCAAGTAGATTTTCAGTTAATAATCTAATGCTTTTCAATGGTTTTCATGTCCTTATTTGCGCTACCTACTGACAGACTTCACATGCTTACTTCTGTGCAGTTCTATTTTCTTACCCAGTGGAGGGAGAAACTGCCGTTTCTTTGTCCAGTCTCACATATGCATATCTGAATTAAACAAAAAGCCTTAGTTTCCTACTGCCTTACAGCAGGTTCTTTGCTAAGGCACATAAATGAAGGGAGTATGCAACTTCTGTAGTCAGTAGAGGAGCAGAGGCACTTCCAGAGGTTAGGTCACTCTCTGTTAGCACTGGTCTCTATGCCATTTATTCTTCTGTGTGCTGGTGAACTTTTTTAGCCATATCTGCAGCTCAAACATGATCAGTGTGTTAAGCTTCTAAAACAGTAACTGTGGGTTCTACCTTTTGTAATCAAACAACTGAACAACCCACGGGCAACCTACTTACAAAAAACAACAGCATTAAGAAACGATTGTGTTCTGTTTCTCTTTCCCATTTCTTTTTCAAGCTTCTATTGTCCTGCAGAAGTGGTGGTGTCATATGAACCCCTGTTTGGATGGAGAGGACTGTAAGGTGCTACCAGACTACTCAGGGTGGTCTTGCAGCAGTGGAAATAAAGTCAAAACTACAAAGGCAAGTACAGAAATCACCTATTTTAATATAGATAGAAGTCTGTTGGTGGCATTTGCTAATTTTGTTGCATTCGTGGTTGTGAGCACCAGTGCTAGACTCCTCAGTATTCTGGAAAGAGTGATTAATGCAATTGTTCTCAGACAGGAAAATGCTGGGTAAGAACTGCCCCTTTGCTCCCAGCCTAGTTGAGTTATTGGATGTTGGAGTCAAACCAAAGAAACGATTCAGATGTGACTGCTGTAGTGTTCCAGGATCAGTTCTTCTATTTGCATACTGATTACATAGATCCAGGGTGTAAAATTATCTAAAGTTATATTCTTGCACTACTGCAAAGCCCTTTTAGTTTTGGAATGAAGTAGCTAACCTTTGGAGTTGAGAATTTGTACTGACGTCACTGGAACTGTGGGACACTGAGCACCAGTGGAAATCAAGCTGGTTCCAATAATTTCTAATTACAGGCCATCGTGGAGACAGCCTGTTTTTAAAATAAGCTTTTCTCTGCCATCTATTTCTTAATTAATGGCCAGCAGAAAGAAAATATCATGTTCTCTGTCTGCTTAACAATCTGAAGTGAGTTCAGTGCACTGAAGTTCAACAAGTCATAGTGAACAGCATGCCTAAATATATCATAAAACATGAGCTTTCACCAGGCTATAGCAGCAAAGACATATGCTTAGCTTTTTCCTTTACAGCCTCTTCTGAATGGAAATGAATATTGTTGATTAGGTAACAGTCTGAATTAATAAGCAAACATTGACATCAGATGCTGTTTAACAATTGCAGTTTTAAGGAGAAAAACATGTTCTAATTCAGGATGAAGGAGAAAATTAGTTTTGGGCAGCTGTGGAGTGAGTTCAGTGGTCCAGAGCCCAGCCGTACACTTACCATGATGGCAAATTCTTTGGAGAAATCTGACCAGAAAAATCTGAAAAACACTATTTCTCTTTTAAAGATCACAGAATGGTTTAGGTTGGAAGGGAAACCTGGAGGTCATCAGGTCCAATGCCACTGCTCAGTCAGAGGAATTACTGAAAGGTACAGACTACCCTCAGCGTTTGAAGTTTTTCTTGACTTCATTGACTTCAGCTGCTCATATGTAAATAAGGGATAGTGTGGTGTGGTGGCATTAGACAGAATGGTGAGACAGGACAAGTAGGGGTTGAATAAGATAATGACATCTATGGCATTGACAGCTGGAGCATCAGGTCTTCATTCATGTTGCTGTCTTTTCCTTCTGTGTGCAGTTACCTTTCAGTTCAGTGAGGTCAACTGACCCCAAGACATATAATATAGCCTGTACTTATGACTCTTGCTCTTAAACAGTGAAAAGAGGAAGCCTGACTCAGTGGGAGTTTACTAATAGAAGGGCAAAGTTGGCATGGATCATTTATTTTATTATCCATGACAAAAAATGCAACCGGCAAGCTACAGAATATAGCAATGCATTCTGATGAGTTCAGAGATGTCTTTATAAAGCTGGAGTGGGACAAATCATCCTGCCTGCAATTAGACCTGTGCAAATTCGTCAAGTCTGGTGAGTTTGTGTGAGTCTAACAGAGGGCATAATGTAGCAATATGAGAGCAAATGCTATTTCATTAAACTTGTCCTCTACTTTGCTGGGATGTGCAGTGATGTTTTTTGCATTGATTTTTATACCATAGGAGATTAAGGGATATTTAATTGAAAGGATAAGCAAACAACTGGCACGTATACTTAGATGTGAATTGTTCTACAACATTACTGATATGAGAGCTGCTCATTTTTTGTCTTGCATGACTTTGCTTTTCTTTTGCTGTCCTTTGTTATTTTAGACTTACAAATATTAAAGTAGGGCTGTGCTTCATTGTGGATGTGCATAGTGGCAGCATAAGGGAGATCCTAGTTCTACAACAACAGAAATATAGATATGAATAACAAAGTTAATGGTTATACATCTTATTGAGAGGAGTCCTAAACTTTACTAGTTATTGGCCATGTTAGAGAAGGGAACAGGTGAGTAGCAGGCTACCTTAAAGAGCGCATCCATGTTTCCTCTGTATACGTTTTGCATTGCTCAGGGGTGATTATCTACTAAGGTACAGTCATTGCACAAATATAATGAATAAAGGTAACTCCAGATTCTGAACAGAAGCTTGTGGCACATACAATGTTGAACTGGAAAGAGGGTGGAAAGGAACGGATGGAAAAACCCTTTATTAGAGGAAAAGGTGTGAGGTAACTTTTTTTTTATTATTTTAAAAATGATCCAAATAATTGTCCACACTCAACTCAATCTTCAGAATATGAATTAAGTGCATTATTAAAACTCTGCACAAGTAAAGGACTGCCCTATGACCAGTAGTCCAAACTATACAGCACCCGTGTAGCTCAGTGCTGGGATACTTAAATAGGAAACACACAGCAAAACCTTTGTGGGCAGTTATAGAAAATGTGCCCACATATGAAATGCTTTCAGTTTGTAGTAGGCTTACATCTAAAACATGAGAGTTGAGATCCATTCGATACTAATTTTTTTTTTCTATGTTATGTAGCAAAGATGATCTCATTGCCATTTAAATTTCTAATCAATTTTTAAAGCCTACTAACACCTTGGGATCAGTGCTAGTTGGGATAGCGAGTTCCTCAGGTTAATTACACACCAAGAGAGGAAATGCCAAGTAATCACTTTTAAGTCTTCTATCTTATTCGAAAATATTAGAGTGACTTGAAGTGTATGAAGCATGGAGAGACTCCTGATACTACTCAGTGTTTAGATGTATAGGTGGTAGCTGAGTGGGACATCTAAATACATGGAAAGCTAAAGGGCTTGTATTTAAACCAGTTACTGTGGGGAGGAAAATAAGAACTGTGCTATGTGTTTGTTAAGCTTTATAACATGTCCAGATGCTACAGAGCAGAGCTGACCAAAATTCCTCCCTGCAGGCTGCTTTATTCTTACCCATTTGCAGGGTGGTGATGCCTCTCACTGTGCAGACAAACCCACTGGGTTTGCTTAGCACTGTGTGCGTGCAATAAGGCTTGCACATACATCCCTAACACACCTGATGGAGTGTGCATAGTGCAATAAAGTGAAGACCATGGGATCCTGTGGAGGAAGTGCTATCCAGAAGTGACTGCAGTTGCAACAGCAGTTTGTCCACACTGCACATGGCGTTCTCTCTGATCTGTACATCCCTTCCATTAGATGTGCTGCTGGGAATGGGCACTTTGCATGAATGGTTCTTGGGGATGTAAGTGGTACACTGGTTCTGTAGGCATTGGTGTTGAAACTGATGCTAAGCTAAATGAAGCAGAAGAGTGATGTTCCATGTGATGTTGGTGGCTGTTTAATGGTAAACAGCCATTTCTTCATCTGCAAATCTTTGTACTTTGGATAACAGTATAATTAATGTTTGGCTGGGGTTAGTTCATTCATGATGTGTCCTGTTTTACAATGGAGCATGTTTTATAATCCTCATTGGAAAGATTCCATGTTGGTAACTGTTTCCTCCTCTTTTATAGGTAACACGGTAGCAAAGAATAAACCTGTGGGTCCTACTGGAACAATGGTGTGTGCAACTGCATTGCTTGGCTGTTAGACAGAGACCCTATTTTGTGAGGGTGCTACTGACTTCATTCTTTGAACTTGCAAAATGACTTAGTGAAAAGAACAACTCTTCTTTCAACCGTGGCTGCAGTTCCTGAAGCTGGATTTTGCTATACAGAACAATGAATGTTTAATTTAGTGAGAAAACACAAGATTTGGTTCTACCTGAAATGCACCTTGGATTCTCCAGCTTCTGCCACCTGACAGCATTTTGTAGAAGCACAAACCTGAACTTCTGCAGTACATCAAGGACAAAACTTTCTTTGTGATGCTGAGATATATAAAATTGCTCTAAAAGAGTTTAGATTATGAAATTAACCTAGGATACCATAGAAAGAAAATTCTTACGTTGGAACCGTTATGGGTTTGTCTGAGGTACTTTTCACAGTACAGCAGAAAAATACAAAGCTGATCCCAGTGCTGACAGGGCAGTGTTAGTAAATAACATATTAGTGTATTTTCAGCTGTGATTTAGTAACTATCAAGGTTGTTAGAAAGTGAGAAGATGGCACTTATAAATCAGTAATGATTATAGTATGGCATACTTTGGTTATATCTTTGCAATTGAATTTATTTCCTTAGGTAGTTATAGGTACTTTAATTTTCACATTCACAAGTGATGGCAGGGAAGCATGAGGAAGAGACAAAATTGGAAAGTAGATAAAGCTTTTGCTGTCCTAAAATAAATCCATTCTCTAGGGGAATAGCAAAGTATATGTATCCCTTGCCTCTTTGAATCTAGATATGGAAACGAATTTAGCCATTAGCTAGAAATATGCATTCAGATGCCTCAAAAAAAAAAAAAAAAAGATAGAAAAAAGAAAAAAAGTGAGCATGCTTGTACTGCATAAGGAGGGCTTACTGGAAGGAGGGTAATTTGTTCGGATTTTCATAGCTTTGGTTATATCCTACTAGGTAACGTGCTTAAAATTCATGAGCAAAAATTCTAGATAAAAGTGAATCTTCACTTCCAATTAGTTCTTGTTTAGACTGATTATTATAATTAAATGTCCAGTTCTTTGACAGACTGAATTTCCAAGTGATTACATTTTGTGACACATAATTGTTCCATATTATTGTAGATGCATTTCATACTGTTTTTCTTATTTGCCTGTTGCAGTTTTTTGTCATCAGTCTTCATAAATAGAACAGTAAGTAGAAGTGAAGCTGTAGCCAGGCTGATCCCCAGTATATCATTTTGGACTTAGGATGCATTACAACTGACTGAAATGCAATGATGCAGATGGATATCTTGCAGATGAACTGCCGCTGACCCAGCTACTGAACTCATTGTTATGCTTTATGTAAATATCGGGGGAACAATGTAAATCTAATTTTTATATAGCTAGAAAAGAAAAAAAAAAGAAAAAGAAAAAAAAAATATGTTGTATTAATTTAGATCATTGTGCATACGCTTTCAGCTTTGTGGGGAAGATACCATCAGCTGTGTGAAGCTGTTCAGAATAATGATGTTTAGCTTTTCTAGCTTTTGATTTGCTGGAGTGAGTGCAAGCTCTCAGCCAGAGAATTCCACAGAAGTTAGTGGGGGAAGGTCTGGCCCTGTGTTCTTTTTCTTCTGATTTCTCTGGTTTAGCCCATTTTTGGTTATGCATTTGATGAAGCTGGGATCATGGTGGTCATTGTACTTGGTGACAAGTAAAAAAGAAATGTTCTGCTCTATCCTCGGACAGCTAAACAGTGATTCTACCTAGCAGACTCTGCTTTCCCTAATGAGTTCTGCATTACTGGTATTTTTCCATTGTTTCTATTTCCCAATTAAGTTTTAATATTGCCTTTTCTCTTTCTATTTTTTCTGTATCTGACTATTCAAGAATATCATCTGTGAAAGTTGTTTTTCGTTTCCTGTTTGTACAATGTTGGCCCCAAATTGTTATTTATTTATTTTGCTAATTTCTGTATATAAAAGCTTAGTAAAAACCATTGCTGAGGTGTTCTGATCTATGCGGATAAATGAGAATTTCAGAGAAAAGTTACTACTTTTCTTTTTCTGAATGTAAATACAAAGAAAAATTATTTACCAGTGGTCATATGCTAGATTTGTGGCAGAGCTGAGAATTGACCCAAACCTTATTACATCTGATTAAGCTTTTCTTGTGGGGAACATAAAAGAGGTACGTGACGTGCCTTACAACACCCACCTGGAAGGGGCATTCTGTGCCCCTGGGGAAAGGGAAAACTAGAGCATAAGTTTGATTGCATGGGATTATGAAATGCAGCCCACATGAATGACTTCCTTCCTAGATCCTCCGCTGATGACAAAGATTTTGTATTTCTAAAGAATCTTCATTCCAGAGGATCTTGGGATGATTTACAGCCTTTTCTGACTCGCTGCACAAATGCTGTAATAGATACCCGTCTCTTTTTAGAGGATTGCTGTTTCTTCTAATGCTGTTGTCTGGCATCTGACACCGGTATGGCCCTTCTGCTGAATGATTGCAAAATTAAAGCCTTTGCCAGAGGCTCTGTTAGTAAAATAGATCAGCATCCCAGATTTGTCGTGTGTTCTCTATGGAAGTGGCTTAGTTTATGCATATCTGCTTCTAGAAGAGCAGCATTTGTAAGCAGCATGCTGGCAATCTCTGCTTACTTCCCACTGTTAAGCTTCTGTGAGTCTACAATGTGTGGTTCTTGTGTCCAGGTTTTTGTTCAGGACAGCATTGCCTGCTGCAATCTGGTTCAGAGATTGATCCCCTCTCTCTGTCCTAAAGCTGCCAAGTTTTGCCATATGATTTCTAACCAAAGGCTGTTGCAGACACTCACTCCTTTGGTAAAATATTATTCTGATAGGCAAGCTGAGCTAATTTATGTCCTGATTATACCTATATCTCACTTAACTCTGCTTTCTTTTCCCCTAATTAGTATGACCCTGATGTATTTTCCTTCACTGAATTGACATTTCAGTAGACAAAATGCTCTTCACTGCTATTCTAGGCTTGCTTCTTTTCAGCTCATACCTTCTTGTTGGTATGTTCTTCCCAGTTCTACTTCAGTGTGTGACCTGGAAGTTCTGTTGCTGAACTGTTACTCTCCCAGGCTGAGGTCACAGGGTGCTGCCTGTCCCTGTGCTGAGGACTTCTGTGTGCCTCGTGGCAGAGCCACAGCTGAATGATCCCAGGACTGACTGAGGAGGATGTCCACCATATCCCACTTTGAACAGCAAGTGCCATTGTTCGCTGCTCAGTGAGTTCCTCACGTTGTCCTTATCTTCGTCAATTAGACAGGGAAATCTCTGTGATATCAAAATAAATATATAGAAGAAGATGTATGCGCTGATATGTAGGTCAAACTAGATTCATGGCATTTTCTTTATCTAGAAAATAAATTATCTTAATAGAAATCCTTGCCAGGTTTCTCTTGTGTGTTACAACTCTGTTAAATCCGTGATGGATTTTATTCCTTTTTCCTCTAAGTCTGTTATCTTCAAGGATTTCTGTTAGAATTGGTACCTGAAGAGAGTGAATAATTTTTTTACATTTGCTGTAATTTTTTTCAAAGGGTTAGTTCATAACAAACCTACTACAATAGAAAATGTCTTTAAAGTATAGCAGTTTGCTTGCAGACCGAGCAGCCCCTGAGCTAAGGCAGGCAAGGCTTCTGTCACAGCATGAGATGCTTCTGTATTTACTGAAATACAGATGATCCTGTCAGAAACTTTTAACTATTTAGGATAAATAATTGCCTATAAACTGTGTGGTTTTAAGGACTGCTTTTCACAGCACAGAGTCCCAAAGTATTGCATTGTGGCAGTAATTCTGGCAGATTCAGAATGGATCTGCTCACCTTGGGATTCGGAACGTGCTGGTTATGGAGAGCCTCTCTGAGCTCATGAGGATGTTTCTTGGTGCTAATGGCTGCAGGGAAGCTTGCTGCTTGGAAAGAAGGAACAAGCCCCTTTCCGAAACAGGATTTTTTTAGACAGGTCTAAAAGGTGGGTTATTTATCACCTAGCCAATACAAGTTTTTCATTTTAGAAGGTATCTATGGGCATGGTCAGACCACAAGTGGTTACATAGCTCTTAACAAGATATTAGCCTTAACCTGGAGTGCATACAATGCATGCTTGTAGTCTGCTTAACTAAGAAAGGTAGCTGTAACTCCTGTGAAGATTCTAGGTAGGAGTCTGTCACTTTTAAAGATGCACTAACTGTTTCATTTGTAGTTTTCTGCCTCTGCAGTAACCTGTATTGTGCCTGCCTGTAGGGACATTGGACATTTAGGGAAGTTGGACTGTCCAGCACTACTAGAGGTCACTTCTTCATGCAGGGTATGAAAGGATTTTGTCTTTGCAAGTGAAATTTCGCAGACTCTTTCCACTTAGATCTTGGTACTGAGTCATCCAAGACTTCTCAGCTGAGGAGCTGAAACTCAAATATTTTGTCTACCCACTGAAGTTATGTTTCATATCATAGCAATCTATACTGGCACAAGATTGCACAGATTAGTAAAGTTATTTACACAAAAGCTTGCAGACTTTAGGAATCTTGTATCCCTTCTCTTTAATGTATGCACTGGGTGAAGGTTTACTAAGCCCACTCACATGGCTCTTAGCTGTAGAGTTCTCATTTGTGCTCTCTGTGATTCAAGGTTGTGGGTGGGTGTACTTTCTTCTTTTTTTTTCTTTTTTCTGTATTTCTTTTTTCTTCTTCTTTCTTTCTTTCTTTTTTCTTTTTTTTTTTTTTCTTTAATTTTAAATTGTCTTAATTTGAATCATCAGGGAGTTTTTTTGCATAAATGCCTTCCAGCCAGGAATCTTTTTGCTCAGTCTTCTGAGGAAAGATTGTTTTGGGTGTAAAAAGAAAGCAAAGAGAGGGGCAAGCTGCATCTTATTGCAGAAATGATCTCTATGTGGAGCCAGAAGAGGTAATGTTGGTGGGATAACTTCACCTCAAGATACTTCATGTTATCTATATAGAGGATTATTACTTTATGGCATTTTCAAGAATGGTTGACCTGTAGCCTTTCTATTCCTGAGACTGAAGAGATTTGCAATAATTGGAAAAATAATTTTCCTGCACTTTAATGGAGTATCTAAAATGTCACCCATCAGCTACCACTAGAAGGAGGTGAGGAATGTTGCAACAGTGGAAAAGTAGCCTAAAAGATTATAAAAAATTTTGTATGCAATCAATTTATCTGCTGTATAATAGGATGTAGATCTGTCCAAGCTCATGCTTTGAATGACTCCAGTTTACAGAAGCACGATAATTATTTTCTTTTACTGTGTTT